GTCCTTGGCCTCTGAATGGGTGACGACTGAGTGGGTGATTGATCCAGCGTCCTGACGAGACATTTTGCATTGCATGTGGTGTGCATGTCTGGTAGGCAGGTGCACAATTGCAATTTTCCGGGATACATACATACATACATACATGGTTGCGTACTGTGTTCGCCTGCCTACAGGAAGTACTGCATCATCCACCCACACCCCTAGATGTGATCAATACTCTGTTTTCAACGAGACACGACGACGACACGACACGACTGATCTAGAGGGGGAAGACATATGATGGGGTTTATCTATGTCTATGTATGTGTCTGGGTCTATTTCCGCATCGTCTATGAATATTTTCCACGGCCCACTGTGTTGTGTATGGTGGGGATGACAGGAGAGGGTGGGGCGATTCACAATATGGGGGGCCTCTCCAACTTTTTGTACGTGCCTCTGCAGAGCGAGCGGTGCTTTACGGGATACGACAATGGTGATTGGACGTACAAGACAGACGCGCCGCAAGATAGATGGAGAATACATCCATGCATGCATCGTGCGGTCTACACGTTGGGTCAACGTACATACAGTCAAAGAGCAGCAGCCATTCATCGCATGGCAGCAATGCAACACTCCTCCCAGCACATCTGTGTCCACCAGTGCGTTTGACAGTGTCGGATAAATAGCGTGCCCAGATTGCTCGTAGAGTAGTTGATGACCAAGCAGATGCAGACAGAGTCCTTTTCTCTTTTGAAAGGCCCAGTGTGCTCAACGCATGGCGTTGGTTCTCCACAAATAGTGGGCTCCGTTTCACGAAGCTACCTAGCCGAAACGGGATTTCTGTGGGCCCTGGCCAGGGGTAACTGGCCAGACGGTATTATGATGGGTTCTGCTGCTCGTTTCACGTGGCAGCCTGGGCTAGGGCTTGAGTGCCCTTCGACACCCCCTCTCACTCAAGACCCTCTACGAAGCCTAGAGTGAAGCCATCTGCCAGATCTACATCTGCTCTGCCTCCCCTCATGCACCCATATCGGATTCCTCATCAGATTCC